AAGACGTGGTCTCCAAAAAACAACATACATGTAGATATTGTCAATCAGAAACTCAGGCATCTTTTTTGATGTCAACTTCAGAGTACTTATGTGTTCAATCTTAATGTTTTTTAACCAAATGATTTTGGAAATTACCAAGATTGAGAGAAATTTCATGGCCGTCTAAAGAAGAAATGTAATAATTTTAATTAACTTGCAGGGACTTGATACGAGATAAATCATGTAAGAAATTAAAGACATTGTTTTACAGGAAAAAGAATGCAAGTACATGTAGGCCGAAAGGATAAAAAAAATTAGATGATACTGTTGCTGTTTACACGTTCAGTCTTTTGTTTAGCACAATGATGAACAGATAAGCAGAAATATTTCTTTTTTCTTTATTTCTGGTCTGAGGCTTTGGATAGGAATGAAATTTGATGAAACTTTCAGACTTTATTACATATTGCCATTGTGCATCAAATACCATATTTGGACCGGCCACAGCAAAACATGCTATTATAACTATATGGAGGCGGGGGGTATCCCATCCCCACCTCAAGAAATTTTTCTTTATTTCTGGGAGGCTGGATAGGTAGGCAGACCTTGTCGATCAAATACCTTTTCTGGAGGTAATTAATATTCAACCCTCATTCCATCCCAACCCACGAAATTTTCTTGTGTGTCTTCGGAGTGTTTAATTTTTTTCAGATTTGTATCATCTCTGTTCACATTACAACAATTTACATCTTAATTTGGCAAATCATTTTTTGGATTTAAATCAAGAACATTCTAATACGCTGTGTGACATATTCATTGAGTCTATCAACATAAGAATCTATTTAATTCACAATCGTAATTGGCATGAAGCATCAATTAAAATATAACGTCCGATTAACTTGCAGCCATTTAGGGGACAAGTCGACCCACTTGTTGAATAATTAATCAGTGTTACCTAAATGTAGAACCGTAGAGATAAGATCTCAATTTAAAGGCTTTACAAGAGATGGGTTTAAAACTTAGATCGTCTTTATATAGACAGAAACAAAAAAGTCCACATTTTTCATAGTTCATGTGATAGCGACGTGAAACTATCATGACACATTATATGTAATGTTCTGAACACATCTCCAAACCACATAATTGTTAATATTAATAACCTAGGTCCCAAAACACACCCTTCATCAATGATTGAACAATTTTATCACTTGTTCAAATGTCAGATGGATCCCTGTAACAGGTAAGAAAATCGGCTACAAATACAGAGTTCTCATGGGAACAGCAGACCCCGATAATTTAACAGGTACATGAAGCTTTACAGGTGTCAAAGCTACCCGCACGTATCGTAAAGCACACATAAAATATTTCATTATGAATATTTTTGTTTCTTTGAAATGATGCTGAATACCTTTAACAACAATGCAAATAAATACTTTTCTCATTAAAGTGCATATTTTCCATTAAAGTGCCTATTTTACATGTATGTAGTCTTATAGTAGTATTCATATTATATTATTGAACACCATGAACATGGTTCAAAGACTTCAGTTCAGTACAATACATATAATATTGTCAATATTGTATATTTTAATTGTACAGCAATGTTTGCACTAAGCACTGTCAGATTAGAAATAGCTATATAGTATGATATTTGGTTTCATGGCCACTGACATTTTCATGTAATTTAGGAGGAAATCCAAACAGAACGTTGCTCTATTAAATGTCAGAAACAGCAATAACATTCCTATATTCATTGTATTTAAACATTTTCAATAAAAATACCCAATTTACTTGTAATTAACAACGATTCTATAAATACTGTTTGATATTCATTGAGATAGCATTATATAAATTGTTAAAAGTCAAGTACATATACATGTACAAGTATTGAAACCGAATACGATTTGCAGTATGCATTTTTTTTCAATATATTCGTATAGAGGCAGAAAAAAGTCGAGTCATGCCAGTATAAACGGTGTGGGTTCCTTGGTACGACATATTCCTTGGCAAAATGTGATTCAGCTGTGAAATTTTCTGAATTAACAATACCTATAATTTAACATTGCACCAATAAATCATGACCTAAAAAGTTCCACCAAAAAATTGATATATATGTAGAATATCCCCAGGTATTGTCATTAGTGAGTTTAATAAACCATGACTATAGCATTAGTAGGTAGTTAAAAGATTATAGACTACTTTTTTTAGAATAAAGAACATTGAAATGAAACTTTAATTATGTAGTTATGTATCCATTAAACCCAAGAGTTGATAATGCACTTTGAATGAGGTGAAAACTTCACTTATTGAGAAATATCAGGGGACCGATCAACCAATTCCACCTGAGAAGCTAGCATTCCTGTGTTCGAATTCTCCTACACGGAAACGGGACATTGTCTGTTAAGGTAAAAACATGTTATACAAAATAGATTAAAGCTTAGAACCGCCTACAATAAAACGCCGCTCTAGGAAGGTAGTATCGCTTACAGCAGCTGAGAAGAGGATTTCTGTAACCAAACCATAATCATTATCATCAGCGGTGTATTATGTGCTATTTTATTTGGATATAAATGAAACTAGACATTCGAACATGTATAAGCTTAGAGTAGATATAATTATCTTCACAAACAGTAAATCTCCTGGTGATAACACACAACTCCCACCGCTTCTGTCTGTACTGTTACTACATGATGTTGTATAATCCAATAACAACAGCATTATGATTGTATTGCGATAGAAATGAAGCGACTGATTAAGTGTGTAGGATAACCTAATTGTACTTTACTGTAGTCTTTTAAGCTTTACACTAACAGTCAACCGAAAATACATATTTTTAGCTTTGAAACAAAAGCACCGAAAAAGTACACAGTTCGCGAGTTCCTTCTTCGTTAGCTTCTCATTGAACTGTATATAACGAAAATGCTAATTCCTCTTGCTACATCAATATTCACAGATCAGTCTTTAAATGCTATGAGTTGTAATAATTATTAAATGTTTAACCTTTTCTGAATTAAGTTAATTTTTTTTTAAATAAATAAAAGGAGAAATTTAAAAAATATATATTTTAAAGTACATGAAATATCGACCATCCATTATATGATAATATCGTGCCGTCAAGAGGATTATTATTTCTTCCCAGGTTCCTTCTAGGTATCTTGTACTTGTGTATTTGCCACCACAATGCTTGTTTCAGTATAAAATTATTTTATTGATTTTTTTTAACGAGTCATTGCTTTTTGATATTTTGAAGAAGAAACCACTATACAAAGGGAAAGTCCATTGAAGGTTTTAATCTCCGTAAAAGTACTATAAAGTAGTAACCTAAAAACTAAAAACGTTATACTGCATACTGCATTTACGAATTCTGTTCGTGTACAATGTCTTATTTTAAGCTTTAAAACTTGAAAAATTAAAGTAATCGCATAGCTTGTAGAATGATACTTTTGTGCAAAGAAATGTCATGTACTTTTTTATCTATAAAAAAAACAAATCACGCCAATATTATTAATAAAATTTTAATTTTACCATCCAGACATACATGAACATGTATTTGGTATTGACAACAAGCCATCCCGATCAAAGTACAATGAGATCGATCAATTGATTGATTGATTTTTTTCATCTTAGCGAGAATATTTTTCCAGTTTTATGATGCCAAATTTAAGCATTTGTCAGAATCAACAACTGGCAGGACATGTTTTTTTTTAATCACTGCAAGTCGTTGTCCTTTAAAGAGAATTTAATTTTCTAGCCTAAAGAGACCCCTGTTTAAAATCTTAATATAATCCCTGAGTAGCAGATTTGTTTTCTTTTGGTGTTTATTACGTAACATGACTACCGCACAACATTGTCAACCCCGTATTTAGTGTGTCGGAAAACTGATTGTTATGTTTAATCAATTCTGGAGAAAATTCTGTCTGCCTTTTGCAAGATAAAGAGGCATTTCAGGATGGAAACCCCTGAAATTATAATGACAAACGCATTTTATATTTTGGTTGTTACAGAATATCGTTTTGCCTTTGGCCATTTCACAATGAAAACGGCAACAAAAGATAAAATATGATTGAAGTAATTGAAATTTTCAGCAAAGAAATCTGCATATTTCATCTCTTACAAAATGATAACAAGGGAGAATTTATCAACAGTTTTTATACTATCGTAACATCCACTTATTTGTAGCATCGATATCTGTACGTGATTTACATGTATGTTTGTACGTAAAAAATGTACACTATAGATAAATACATGTATTATAAAGAACTTTCGTCACCCCTTGATTTTAAAGTACATATACAATATCCAGTCTAATGTGCATGTACCTTTGTCTAGCATTTTTAAATTTACAGTACTTGAATTATTTCCGCTTGATTGGAGTAAATAAGTTGTATGATGACTTTTTGTGAGACACGGGCCAGGATGTAAGATTCGGTGGCAGATTACGTGAAAAACTTCATTAATGTGCTATACAGAGAGAAAGTTTATCTCTGTATACATCTTAACCGCAAATCATCAAATAATGTTGCACCCATCCCTAAAATATTCAATTTATACAAAATTTATATTAACAAACAACGAAACCAAGTGAAAATAGAAGTAACCGTCACATATCAAAACGGTAGCACCGCGTCCTTATATATGAAACAATCATGATTAATAGAAACATATCAAATTACTATATATATAGATGCGCTATTTTTTTCTTTGCAGCGTTGAACATTCATTTAAGAATGTCATTTTAAAAACGACATACTCAAGTGTTATCAGTAACATAATTTATGTACTTTATCATTTTTGGAGGGTTGGTGGGATATTGGGTCCTTAAAATTATACAATCAAAAAGTTTGTACTCTATTTGAAGTTTAGCTTTTAGATACAATGTGCCAATGTTTCATTTAAACCTTTTTCGAAAGCATATAAATTGTCAGATTCATTACAACACCAGCTTTACAAATTGTATTAACAGAATACATAAAACCATGTTTAACCTATGCCTTTTATTAGCAGGATAAAACTGAATGTCCTACCTGGATATCAGTTGGATGACATCAGTCTCATGTAAAGCGAAATGAAGGCCAGTGTGTTTAACGCATGAACTCACATTAAGTGGCAACAGTACATCGGGGGTCTTCTTCGATAGAAAACTGTCCAATGTGGCAAAAAAATAAAACACAAGATTTCTTTTAAAAAGGCATCACATTTTCACCGACTTTGGTGTCCTGTCCTGATCACTCTTTCGTACAGATCAATTCCTATATGTCGCAGGCCTGGAGAGGATAATCTTTACATCCCAAAACCTTCACAGTATAACCTGGATTCATTAGGTATCAATTCTTATTACCTAAACAAGTGCTCGAAAAAAACACGACCAGGGACTGTTCTGGTGTCGATGATTTAAAAGTGCAATGGAGCAAAGAGTAACTACAATGGGATGCCCTTGGTGTATTGAGCTGTACTGATATATTTATCTGAAGTCAAAGTCTAACAACGCTTTGGAAACATATATTTTACATTGCTGAAACAAATTAAAGGGCTTTGCAAAACTTCTTATACACAATGCAAAACAGACAATTATATGTTGAGGAGATTTAAATATTTGGTTACGAATTAATTCTTGAACTTTTTAAACTATTACAACATCTGGGCTCTGCATGGTAAATTTTAATTACTTAAATTGTTCTAAAAATAAACATTTAAATAGTTATACAATTTTAAAGAATCGGACTTTTCAAATTTCTGTCGGGATCGATGTCTTTGACGTAGACCAGGTTGAATCTCGTGTACCGGGCACTGAACGGGGCGACAACAATTTGGCGACGGACACTTTCCTCTGCTCAATCTGATTTAATCAAATAGAAGCACGTTTTACAATAAGCCATGGGTCGACCACCTTTTTACGTTCCGATACATTTCTGAAGGTATTTGTAAAGGATTTGTATTCAAACACCTAATCGATAACACACAGCGGATTTGTGAGTAGAACCCACAAATCAAATTGATAAAAATCAATTACGAAGGCATTTTATATAGTTTTTGTCAGAAATGCTCATCAGTATTAAATTAATAGATGGGGCAACATCAAGGTCAATAGTGAAAGTGTTGAAATTCTCATACATTCAACAAGCCATTGCAATCGCTGATAGCTTATACACTATAACCAGCAAGCAGCACTATGATGCCAAGGCAAAACTCAGAACTTCTAAATAATCCGAAAGGTAGAGTTTTATATGAAAAGCCCAATACTTACCACATTATAGCATGCTCGTAACCGGCAAAATGTGTTAAATGAAACTCATTCCTCTTACATATATATTAAGTAGTTGAACCTTAATGACATTCCCAAAGCAACCAAAATAAAGAAAATCGAACAAAATAATTTAAAAACAAAAAAAAAAAAACATAAGGTCTGAGATGTGTTCAGTAGCCTCCAGAAGACTATGACAGGCGTGCGTCAGTGAGGTGATAAACTGAATAAACCCTCTTTTCTTTTAAAACCTTTGGACCTGCATATTGATTCTTAAGACTCTCAGCCGAGCTACATACTGAAACATGTATATCGATGAGGAATATCACGCAAGTTGTCATAAAGAATCAATTTTAAAAAGAAAAGTGACACTCGCGGATCAAATATTTTGAAATGTGGCATTTCGACATCTGTCTCAGCACTTGAATAATATGTCATGTAAGTACACTACAAATCTAGTATATATGCATAGCTGTATATATGTTTTGAATATAAGAAATGAAAGTCATTCCTCAATTCAAACTCTGTAAAAAATGATTATATGTTTTGACTTAAAGTCTCTTCAGAAATGTTTAATAGTACATCGCTTTGGATATTAGATTGGTTGAGAGTTCAAATTGAGGACTGCTTGCAGTAACCTTCCAAATTTTCCGTTGTTTACAACATTATATAAAGCAAAATCTGCAAATTGAGAGTAAAAATAACACAACAATGATTTGCATCCCTGCCCCGGACACACCCACTTTGTGCTTCTTGTCATGATCTTGCAAGCCTCTGTGTGAATAATATGTTACACAATCCTCACTAAGACATTGAGAGTAAAATGTGAAGGAAAAACATCAACTTGTTTGTCGAGTACTGCACAACAATATATTCAAGAAGCGGTATGAATCAGGTGTGGATTTTGAAAAATTCCGAAGAACTTTTGGAAAATTTGAAATCACAAGATTTTACGAAAATCAACAGGTTAAAAAAATTGTTTTCCTACAAGACTTTTTTTTCAAAAAAATCTTATACACAACCATTCCCCACGATAAATTAAAGTCCAGGCTTTTTGATGTCATTGACAGCTGCTTTTTCAATAAAAATGGAACTCGTAAATTTACTTACCTGGTCACTGGTCATTTGCAAAATTATTTTGTTAAAACATATTCTGATTGCACACACAAGTATTCTGCAGTTAACATCAAAGAGATGCTTGAGTTTCTGATTGATAATATCTATGTGGTTTTTGGAGACCAGGTATTTGAACAATCCATCAATCCATTGAAATTTTCATGGGTACCAATTGTGCTTCGTTATTAGCAGACCTATTTTTATATTCATATGAAGCAGAATAGCTGACAAGATCATTGTATCGACCATGGAACTTTCGAAATGATGAATTTAAACGAGACTGCTGATATTCTTGTTTCAGTAACTTATTTGTTAATAATTTACCTCGTTTTCGAAATTGTTCGTACGTAGAGCATGCTATTGCGTATCGAATCAACTGCGATATATGACCTTCGTATACAGCTGATGAGGGTATATTGTTGCATAAGTTAGGGAAGTTGAAGATTGAAAAGCTAAAGTCATCACGTTTATCACGGAGTTTGATTGTTAGATTACCATTAACGTCTTTTTCAAGCAAAATATTCAAATATGAAACAGATGTGTTCTGCTCTGTGGTATCTTTTATTTCAAGCTCACCGTGATATGTCGTATTGCCATAAGAATGAAAAAAGCTAGTGTTAATTGACAATACATCGTCGATATATCTAAGGGCCAGAGCAAATCTTTTCTTCTTTTCACGTATAAGATTTTGAACAAATTCTGCTTCATATAAATACAAAATTAGTCTGTTAAATATCAGGGCGTAATTGGTACTCATGGGAATTCAAATAAATTGTTGGAAGACCCGGTCTCTAAGAACCACATAGATTTTGTCAATCAGAAAAAAAAAACTCAAGCATTATTTTATGTCAACTTCCGAGTACTTGTGTGTACTCTCAGAATGGATTTTTAACAAAATAGTTTTGCAAATGACCAATGACAGGGTAAGTAAATTTACGAATTTCATTTTTTCATTGAAAAAGCAGCTGTCAATGATATCAAAAAACCTGGACGTTAGTTTATCGTGGGGAATGGTTGTGTATAATGTTGAAAAGTAAGTTTTTAAGCTGCTGATTTTGTTTGGTAAAATCTACCACTAAGATGAAAATCTGACATCTCTGCAATTTCTTTTATCAAATATTTACAAAGTAACTTAGATTTATAGAAATATAAGATTTTTTGAAGTCCTACTATAGCATAGATACTTGTTGAGAAATTGGGAAAATTTTGTCTTTATCGTACGATTTTTTATTTATCTTTTATTTTTATTTTATTTTTTTTTTTGGTGAAAAAGACCACAGAATTTAAAGGCAATTCAGATCTCAAAAAACTTAATTAATAATTTAATATATGTATGAATTTTTTTTTAAGTGTGCAACTCCTATACTTCTTTAGATGCACTGAAAAGGTACCTATAACCTACCTCTAGCCTATTAACCTACAATATTCGTTTTATACCTAATAATTCACATTTAGTTCAAAAATATATGAATTAACTTTATTAATATGAGATGAAAGATTCGATGTTTCGTAAATAGGTCGAATAAACTCCTATCATGTCTCGCAGTCATTAAACGATTTTCGGAACCGTAGCAAACTTTCATCTTACGTACGCACCCTGTAACAGGCCTATTTTGATTCTTAAGATCCTAAAAGTTCTCATGAAAAATTTAAAATTTGCCTTCAATCTTGTTTTTTCCCATTCTATCTTAAAGGATAAAAAGCTGAGCTTATCTGTTAAGTATTAATCGTTAACTATCGGATATTGTGTGCAGCAGCGGGATAAAATGTCGAATTGAACATATGGTAGCGATTGTTAGAGGCCTGTTATTGTTAAGCTTTCGTTTGATATATGTTTAAAAATATATGATACGCGTCATCATTTAGTAATAAAAGTAGATCGTCATCTGTAAACAACAGCTTATTTCCTTAAATATATCGAGTATATTGTGTTGGCGTTTACCGATATCTTTTAAAAATATGATTGTCCTTGTAGGAAATTTATATTAAATTTTATAACGGCCTAAGGACATGCGACTCGTTTATTTATATTTTGAAATATATTCTTAGGACAAAAAAATAGTAACTCACTGCATTCTACATATGGCTTATCGTACATGAATGTACAGACGTTTTATTATTTGTATGAATTATTATGAAAAAGAAGAGGCTGACACTTTGTCAGAGTGGACTAAATGTATCAGATCCATGTTAAGATCGCGTATTAAAAGATTGAGGGGCAATATAAAAAACATCTATCCTCCTGTATTCACCAATCCAGAAGTGAAAAAAGAATTAGATAACATAATCAGTACTTCGTTTGTACGGCTCATTATATAAATTGAATTTTAGAAGAAAGGATTTAATTCTACAAGTGGTAATCCAACTTATACTCATAGCTCCCTTTCTACAAAATCATTTGTCAGTTTTGAATATTTTTAATATCCCAAAGAGACAAAATGAATTTGAACTTCCACATATATATTTTGAATTCCGAAACTTCATAAGAATCCTGCATAGCGGGTTCCAGAAATGTTTAACCGAGCATGTTTCTTTACTCCTCAATAAAATATTAACTGTAGTGTAGGAGGAACTTCAAGAGTACTGTGTATCAATACAATCAAGAAGTGGTGTAAATCAGATGAGGATACTTAAAAATTCCAAGGAACTTTTGGACAATTAAAAAATCACAAGATTTTACCAAAATCAACAGCTTAAAATCTTACGACTTTTCACCTTTATACACAACCATTCCCCAAGATTAATTAAAATCCAGGCTTTTTGATATCATTAACAACTGCTTTGTCAATAAAAATGGAAATCGTAAATTTACATCTGTACTTACCTTATCATTGGTCATTTGCAAAATTATTTTGTTAAAAACAGTCGGATTGTACACACAAGTACTCTGAAGTTGACATTAAAAAGGTGCTTGAGTTTCTGATTGAAACATCTATGTTATTTTAAGAGACCATGCAGGTCTTCAAACAATCTATTCGAATTTCCATGGGTACCATTTGCGCCC